GGCTTTTTGTTGCAGACCAGTGACTCAGTGAGAAACTTAACCCTTATTGAGCACCTACTATGTGCCAGGCATGGTGCTAAACCACTAAATAAACATTCTTCAACTGAGCGGATCCTAAGAAAAGGGCTCAGCGCAGGGTAGGTGCCTAATAGATATTCACTGAATGAATAAATGTCTTTAAGCCCCGTATCAGCCCTGTAAGCTAGGGTACTATAATGATCTCTTTACAGACGACTCCACAGAAGCAGAGAGGGGCAGCTCTTTGCCCCAGGCAACACAGCATGCAGTAGGAATCAGAGATTCAAGCCCAAGTGTGGGATTCCGAAGCTGAGCGCTCTCCGCTCTTTCCGGGACAGGCCCAGGAGCTGTCCAGCATGTGCATTGCTGAAAGGAGAACACAGGAGCCGAGCCCAGACTCCCGGCTGGGGCAGGGCATTCTCTAGCCCGTCATACGAATTTATCTCCTCTCTTACCTTGGAGACTGCTCTTCCCATGCCCCCCACCCCGGGCCCCAGGCTCAGATGCTCTAAAACTGGCGACTACCAGACAGCTGCCAGATGATAGGACCGAAGACCTGCTGATCCCTCAGACCCACTGCAACCCCAAGTACCACGGAAACCAAGGCATCAGAGCAGAGCAGGGTCCCAGATGACACAAACACTTAGCCTAGAGTCTAAATGCATGTTTTCCTGATGTGTGTTATTGCTCTGGTCTGGTTGCTCTCTAGACTGTTCTCCAAGCCATACCCAGAGCTCCAATCCTTCAAGTGACGTCATGATTCTGCTTACTATTCCGAAGTCTTCACTCCTTCATGCAATACTCAATGCCCTTCAAGAGCCGGCCCCACCTATCTCTGTCGTCATCCATCCCACTCCCCACCGCCTTCATTCTCCAGCCACTCTAAGTGCCCCAACTATTTAACCCCCGCCCCTGCCCCGCACCGGGTTGTCAAAGACAGCTATGGGGCTGGTAGCAGGGACAAGCATTCCAAAAAAAGGAACAGCATGTGCTAAATCCTGCTCCTCTGGAAAAAGGCATCTCAGGAATCGCTTCCTATGGAAGACCCTCTGGCTGATCGCCTCTCCCTGCAGCCAGTCATTCTCCATCCATATGATACTTCTGTGTACAGAATGTGACTCCACTCCACCAATCAGACAAGAAATTACCCTGCAACACTTCCCCCTGGAGTAAGCTAGCACCTCATGATGTCTTACCCATTTTGTGTCACCATCACCCACCTGCATGTGAGCAAGTAAAAATAAACAGAAGAGGGGTGCTTGGGGGGCTCAGCTGGCGATGCGGCTGCCTTCGGCTCAGGTCACGATCTCGCAGTTTGTGAGGTCGAGCCCCACGTCGGGCTCTGTGCTGACAGCTCAGAGCCTGGAGCCTGCTTTGGATTCTGTGTCTCCCTCTCTCTCTGCCCCTCCCCTGCTCATGCTCTGTCTCTCTGTCTCTATCTCAAAAATAAATAAGCATTAAAAAAATAAACAAACAGAAGAGCCAGGTTTTTGCCTAAGGGCTTGGTTAACAGAGGCTGGTCTGTATAGAAGCAGTAATGTCTATCATAATAATAATGTAAGATAACAATTAACCCTTATGTGTCTGGCACATGCTCAGTGTCTTATGTATGTTAACTCTTCAAAACTATATGATAATCATCAGAACCACCCGAGGTAGGCATCTCCACTAGGTCCATTCTACAGATGAGAGAGCTGAGGCACAGGAGACCAAGCAACCTCCCCCAAGGCAACAGAGCCAGAAAGCAGCACAGCAAGGATGCCAGTCCAGACATTCCGGCTTCCAAGTCAGAGCCCTTGTCCATTTTGCCACCTGTTTCTCTAAAGGGGACGTAGAGGTGGGAGAGGCAATCAGAGTCTCTCCTCCCACCAGGAGGAGACAGCGTTAACTCTGTTGTCCATAGCAGCAGACCCTGAAGCTCCTACCAGGGTTACCTCGGGGAACCTGGGCCTCCCACCCGCACCCACACCCCAACACGAGGGTGCCACACCCCGGCGTTGGCAGCAGAAACTGCCAGGGCTGTGCCCTCACTGCTGGGAACAGCCCTTCTCAGGGCCCTTCCTTCCACCAGCCACACCCGGCACCCCCTTCCCCAGCTGCCAAGACCCTGCTCCCCGCCCCCCGCACCTGGCTGCCCCTGGCAGGCAGCCTCAGACCCCTCGCGGAGGATAAGCTTCCCCGGGCCCCGAGCAGTTGCCAGGCCATGCCGGAGCCAGCAGGCATCTTCTGGGCACCACTTGCCGCCCCGCCAGGCCTGGCATGCCAGCACTTGTGTGTTAGGTTGATGGCCCTGCACAGCCCCACGGAGCTGCTATTTTTAATTTAATTGGAGAGTTGGAGGAGAAAGATGGTACCCAGTGAGGGAGTTTTAAAAGCTTTCTGGGTGGGGGAGGGGGAGAGAAAGCGAAGAAAAGTTCGTAATTATATACCAGGCAGCCAGATTTGATGCCTGAACAGAAAGGTTAAATGTTACATTCAGAATAAAATGAGAAAAAGAGTCCTGATGACAGTTGCCCAGAGCTAAATAAGGAGGGGAAAAAATACCCCTTGCCCATCTCTTCTCCTGCTTCCTCTTCTCCCTCATACTCATTTCTGAGCCTCCCCCCTCTTCTGCCTTTTTAAGCTCAGGAGCCCACAAATAACCCAGTTCGGAGCACAAAGATTACTACTTAGTATGTCAACACTTGATTGCCACCCAAAGCAGCTCTCACTCAAGCCTGAAAAAATCACACATTTTCATTTCTCAGGCCGATAGGTCTAACAGGGTTCAGAAAACTGGGACAGCAGTCTGGCACTGTGAGTCACCACACAGGCTTTCATATGGATGGGCCTAGGTTCAAATCTCTCCTCTGGCGAGGGACAGATGGTGTGGGTCATAAACAGAAGTCTGCTGGCTACGACTTTCCTAATAGAAATAGACTCAGATGGTACCCTCCTTTCATCCTTCCTTTTCCCATGGGGACTATAGATGTGATGCCTGGAGCTGCTGCAGTCATTTTGTGGCCATGAGGCAAGTCACTAAAAGTGGAAAAATGGAAAGAAAGCGTCCTTGATGATGTACCACTGTTCCACAGGACTGCCTATTTGCCACCCAAGACAAATAAATCCCAATGTGTTTCAGCCCTTTTTAGTCTTGGTAACCTTCTCAAAATGCTGACTCCATTCTTAATTCTGACAATCCCATATTAGCCTGAGCTTGAGTGTGAACTTGAGCAAGAACATCACATCACTAAGCTTCAGTTTACCCATGTGTAAATGGGAACAAATACCATTCACCTCACAGTGTGCACACGAGGATTAAACACGACTCCATTTGAAAGGCACAGTGGCTGCTACTGCTGTTCATACTCCTGATGAATGGGAAAGCAACATCATATTATAAAATGTAAAGTCACCTTTCTTATTTCAGTAGCACTTTCTAGTTTTTAGAGACTTCTCTTCCTTCATCTTCGCTCATCCTCAACCCCAAGTCTCTGAGGGGAGGAAGGAAGTATCATTCCCTATTTTACACCTGGCAGACTCAGAGAGGTTAAGCAACTTGACCAAGGTAGCTCAGCTAACGAGAGGGCCAGCCTGCAATTCGAATCGGATTCCAAGTCCTCGGGGCCAAGGCCAGGCTGGTTCTGAGCTGCTCTACTAAAGGTCCCACTTTTCCTCCCGTGGACCACCGATATCTCCAGGGTGGGGAGAAAGCTGTGTCTCAGACAATATGGTGCAAGTGTCAAAGACAAGGTGAGCTGGACTCTGGCCTTCAAATCCTTCTTCCTGAAGCCTCCAGGTTCCTTGAGCCCTCATCCCCTGCCCACTGCACCTGCTACTCTGTTAACGTTAGGGAACCAAGAGCCCCCTTCAGAGGAGCCATCACAACACAGTGGTTGAGAACCTAGGCTGGATTTGAACACCACTTTTGCCACTTACCAGAAAAAAAAATATTTTTTTAAGTTAATTATTTGAGAGAGAGCAAGCATGTGCATGTGTGTGCATGCAAGTGGTGGAGAGGCAGAGAGAAAGGGAGAGAAAAATCCCGAGCAGGCTCTGCACTGTCAGCATGGAGCCCATTGCAGAGCTCAAACCCATGAACCATGAGATCGTGACCTGAGCCAAAGTCAAGAGTTGGACGCTTAACCACCAGAGCCACCCGGGTGCCCCGAGGGGAAAAATTTTTTGATAAATAAATCGTAGGTTCTATCAGTCAGGATAAGCAAAATAGCTGCTGTAACAAACAACCCTCAAATCTCAGCTGCTGAAAGTGGTCGATTTTTCTTGATGACCAGGTGCCGTGTAGTGGGGTTGGGTGGGGCTGGGGGGGGGTCTATGTTCCACCTAGCCATTCAGCCCCCTCCCCACATTGGATCCTTCACATCCTGCAGGCTGATAGACCTATTTTAAGGGACAGGCACACACTGAACGGGCCAGAGCCCATCACATGGTCACATGACCCTACCTAACTGCAGGGTGGGGGTGGGGTGCTGGGAAGCGAAACCGCACAGCGAGCGGAAGGAGGGGGTGTCTCCCGTGGCCCCCGGCAGTCTCATGTTGGTCTCTGCCCCGCAGAAAGTAGGCCTCCCCCACCATCACATAGCTTTGTTATGTTTGATGATTTCATTCTCCAAAGTTCCTTAATTCCTGCCTCCGTCCCCACAGTGGACTGCAATCTCCTTGAACCCAGAAAATCAGGCATCTATGCCCCCATGGTCTCCAGTGCCCAGGCTCTCCAACATGTATCAAATAAATACCAGACTAGTGGAAACTCAAACTTTGACAGAATTTCAGGACACCTAAGATAAGGGAGAGAACGTGGCAGAGAAAGGACGGGAGACTCCAGCTTCCTGACAGCCTGCTCAGCGGGTCCCCAGAGCCTGCCTGGCCCCTCCCTGATCCTCATGGACCCCTACTCCCCGGGGCCTCCCCAGAGACCATCCGTCCCGCCGCCAAGCACGACAGAAGCCAGCGCTGGTTCCAAAGAAGTTTATTTGCATCTATAAAACAAAACCCAGGCCACGGGAGGGAGGGCCCTGCGGCTCACGGGCAGCAGTGCCTCCGTGGCCAGAAAGAACGAGAAAGACTAGAGACTTCACCTCTCCCACTCCACCCCATCTCCTCGTCAAAAATAACTGGGACCCCAGCCCAAGGCCCCAGCTCTCTTGCCCCCGTTAAAACCTACCGAACTGAGAGCAGGACAGCCCAAGGGAGTTGCCAGTGAAAAATTAAGTGGCTGTGACAGACGGCAAGTGACCGCTCCCTCCAAAGGACACCCCCTGGAGAAACCACCTCTGGAAGTCTTCCAGGGCCGACCCCCTGTCCTGCGATGGGCTGGATCCCACTCTCGAAACAAGATAAAACTCTAGTACCTAAAACAGAAAAACCCTCCTGAACTCAGGATTCTAAAACCAGCTAACCCCAGCCCTGCCCAGGCCCCGGCCTTGAAATTAATCGCCTCTAACCCACGGGGCGGGGCGGGTCCCAGGAGCCCCGCCCGCCGGTCACAGCCTGAGGCTCTCTTCATACTCCTCCTTGGTCATCCACTCGGACTTGTAAGTAGACAGATGGGCCACGACAGACGCTCCCAGCCAGACGCTGAAGTTTCGGTTGGACCCCACCCACATGGTGGCCTTGGAGGAGGAGAAGTGATCGGCCATGAGCTCCTTGTACAGGCGCTTGGTGAAGCCGGGGTAGAGGGTGTTGCCCCCGCAGGCCATCACGTGGGAGGTGAGCAGCGGGTGCAAGGACGCCTCGCAGGCCAGGATGGCATCCACCACGGCCTGGGAGATGCCGGGCCCTTGCAGGTCGAAGACCTGGGGGCTGAAGAACATCTCGGGGGCCAGCCGCTGCATGGGGGTGAGCTCCACGCTGGTGCCGTCGGGGAGCTGGTAGGCGTTGCTGTCGTCGGAGCCGCTCGGCAGGCTCTGGCGGAAGTCCAGCGCCTCCGCCAGGTTCTGCGGCACGTAGCACTTGCTCATCTGCGTGGTGGCCACCGTTTCCAGCTGGAACAGGTTGTGGCGGTCGCAGTCCTCCTTGAAGAGGCTCTTGAAGAGATAGGCCGACAGATCCTGGCCCGCGAACTCCAGCGTCTTGCCGCTGGGCTGCAACGGGCGGCCCAGGTGGAAAGGCTGCACGCGGGTCAGGCCGTAGCCGGAATCGACCACCACGCCGGTCAGGAGGCCGGACGCGTACAGGGACATCTCCAGCTGGTCGGCCAGGAGGATGGACGGCACATCCAGCAACTCTAACAGAATCTGCAGGAAGGGAGAAGAGACGCTGGGGTATTTCCCCCAGGACAGAAGGTCCCGATCGGGCTCTGTTCTGCTGGAGCCTGAGCGAGGCCGAGCTCTGCTGTCAGAAGGGAAGTCGTGCAGACCTGTCCCCAAGGGATGGAGGGGGGGCTGGGGGTCGCCCTGAGGAGGTGGGGCACCGGGCCCCTGGGGCTCAGGCTGTGGGGAACCAGGGAGGGTCTAGAAGGTTAGGAGTCCGATCTGCCCTGGGGAGTTTGTTTGAGGACCACTGTTCGGGGGCGGGGTGGGAAGGGGGGTCAGCGGCGGGTGAGAAACGGTGCTGAGGTGTTGGCCCTGTGAGCAGCTACGGCCAAGGGGCGGATCTGCCGCCTGACCCATTTCCTTAGAAGAGGGAAGAAGAAGTCAGACAAGAAACAGGTGCAGGATACCCACCCCTTCCTCCAGAAAAAGGGAGGAAGGAAGGGGAGGCAGAAGGAGGGAAGGGGAGGGAGGGAAGGGGAGAGAGGGAAGGAAGGGGGGAAAGGAGGCAGGGAGATAATCCACTTACGTCCTGGTAAGTGAAGCCCTTTTTTTTTTTTCACACATCAAGGCAAAACTGGGATTCTGACATTTAGGGTTTGGCAAAGTCCCCAGGCTGACTTTCTCCCCCACCCATCGCCCCCTGGATCTTCACCCCACCGCCTCCCTAACTCCCCAGTGCTGATGCATCTCCCCCGTTTCCGACCCTACACACACAGAAAGGCAGCACCAGTCGGTGCTCCTGTGACCACCCCTTCCTGCGCCTCCCCCCACAGGCCCATCTTCACCCTACTGTCCCACCACCACCCATTTTCCCAAACAGAAGCCAGGGCCCTCTTTTTCAAGTGGGAAATCAAATATGGATCCCACTTAAAACTCTCCAGGAGCTTCCGATCTATTTAGAGCGGGGGCTTGGCAAGCATTGTCTATAAAAGCTAGACAGCCGGGGTTGCCAAATTTAGCAAATAAAAATACAGGCTGCCCAATTAAATTTGACTTTCAGACAAACAACGATGTTCTCCTATAAGTATGTCCCATGCACTACTTGGGGCATGCTTATACTAAAGTATTATTTGTTGCTTATCTGAAATTCAGCTCAGATATGTATTTTATCTAGCAAACCTATAGTAAGTCTTTTAGCCTTTACACACCATATATACGGTCTCTGCCATGACTACTCAGCTCTGCTGATGTGGTGTGAAAGTAGCCAAGGATGATAGGTAAATGGGTGGACATGGCTATGTTCCAATAAAACTTTATTTATAATCACAGACGGTGGGCCAGTTTGGCCCACTGGCTGTAGTTTGGCAAGCCTTGATTTAGAGTAAAATCAAAGCCCTCCCCAGATGTGACTTTACCTTCCCATCTACCTCTTCCCACCCTCCCTGGGGACTGAAATCACCTCCTCAGAGAAGCCTTCCCTAATCACCCTCTTCAGAGGGGCTCCCCCTCTCCCCACCAGCCAGCTATTACCCCGTTTCATTTTGTATCTAGAAGTTATCACTCTCTGGAATTCTTATTGGTTAACCTATCCAAGGCCAAGTCTTCCACAAGAAAGCAAGCTCTTTGGGGTGGAAGATGATCTCAGAACGTTTATGGAATCCGTGAACAAAGTACCCAGTGTCTCCCCACCTTCGTAGAATATTTCAACTGCCACATCTCTGTCACGGAGGAAACTCTGTGAGCCCCCACTATACCCAGGACGGGTGCCAGGCACACACTAGGTGCTCAGGAAAACCGATGGGGCAAATTGTTTAGAAAGCAGAGTTCCTGATACTCAATCCTGTCCGAACACAAAGTGCCAGGCCTCACCTCCAGGGTCTTCTGTCGGTCCGCAGGCTCCCTCAGAGGGCACTCTGTGACCATCACGGGCGAATCTTCGTGCTCCCGCCTATGTTTCTCCAGGACAAACGACCAGATGTGCTCCACGCCCTCCCAGTTGAGGACACGGCCACGCTGGACGGGGTAGCTAAAGGTATCAGGATGGCAAATATCGATGCCCAGGCTCACGCGCCTTTGGGCGTAGCTGGGGCCGGGGTTCTCCCTGCACGGGATGTAGTTCACGATGCTCGGGAAGACCATCTGGGGCTCGTTCCACCCAGACAAGCCAGCCTTCAGGAAGCCGGACCCGTGGTCAATGATAATGGTTCTCGCGGCCATGGTGAAGGCAGAGTGGACTTGACTGTGGAAGGAAAGGAAGGGGAGGGAAGTGACTCGTGAACCCATTCCAGGCCAGCGGGGGCTGCATCCCAGTCTCCACCCCAGGGTCAAACTTCAGGCTCCCCCAAAGCCTGTCCGCCACCCCGTCCAAGCCTTCGCACGGGCTGTGCCTGCAGTGGTCCCTCCGCCCCAAACTCCTCATCACCCTACAAGGCCCCGCCTGGGAAGTCCTGCCACGTCCACCTTCCCACCAACCTCTCCCGCTGTGCTTTGCACACTGTTACACCAAGGGCACACTTCCGCTCCACGGGAGCAGAGCTTGGGTCCTGTTACTCGTGGCAGCCTCGGCGAGAAGCTTTCACACCAGAAGCACTGATGGCGGCTGGCTGCCTGTTTCGAAGACTCCAGGACATCAGCCTCGGGGCCACCGCCCTCTGCGATGACAGCATAGTAGCCACAGCAGCATGAGCAGGGGGTAAGGACAGTGACAACGGCCACCGGCGGAGCTATCATTTCTGGGGTACACGCCCTCTGTCCAGTGCTGGGAGGAACACTTCGCCGGTGAGGTTGGACTTTGTAACACTGCCCTTGGTGCCCGCCCCAAATGATCGAACGGCAGCAGCTTTTAAATGGCTTGAGCTGGTAATCATTCCATGTTCACGTCCACCTGTAAGGCAGGTACCATGGTTGCACCCACTTTACAGATGGGGACACTGAGGCACGGAGGGCTTAACATTACTTTCCCAGCACCACACAACTGAGGAACGGGGCTGACACATCCACCCAGAGCAGACCCCAAAGGCCACACTCTGAGCATGAGGCTAGGCACGTAGTGGGTTTTGTGCAGGAGCCAGGCAGCCAAGTTACTACACACGGGAGGCTGTCAGCAGGATGGGTGAAACTGATCGTGGGCAGTTTCAACACCTGTGAAGTGGGAGGGGGGTGGGGCTGGATAAAAAACCGCATGCTGGGAAGGTAGGTGGAGTCACTACGTGATTTCCGGACTTTACAAAACTGCAGCAGCCAGCACGATGCGGCACTGGGGAAAGGCTTGTGACCAAAGTGCCCAAGACAGAAGGATGAGTCCAGACAACATTCTTCACAAAGAAGGAAACGGATGTTTGGCAAGGGGCAAAAACAATGAAAGGAGGAGGGAAGAGCCTTCACGATAAACGGGAGGGAACGATCAGATATCCATCCACACGCCAGCAGAAATGAACCTTCTTCCATACCTCACACCGTATAAAAAATGAACTCAAAATGGGTCGCAGGTCTACATGGAAAACCTAAAACCGTATAAAACTATCCAAAGAAACAGAGCAGAGAGTCACTGCGACCTCAGACACAGTAAAGCTTTCTTACATGGAACATCATTAGCCGAGTCCCTAAAAGGACAAACCGACACACTGGCCTTTGTCAAAATTTAAGAAATTTGCACTTTGAAAGGCACCGTGAAGGGCACGAAAAGGCAGGCCAGGGACTGCGAGAAAGCATCTGCAAACTGTCCGTCTGGTAGGCGGCGGCTTGCATCCAAAAACGATAAAGAACTCATGGAACTCATAAGAAAACCAGTGCAAGTGTTCAGATTTAAACACGTCCCAAAAGAAGACACACGGATGACAGAGAGCCGTAAGAAAAGATGTTGAGCATCGTGAGTCCTCAGAAACACGAAGATTAAAAGCAGCACCACATGGCAAAGAGAAGGCCCAGGTAGAGGCCCCGGGACCCGGCGCCGGTGAGGAGGCGGAGGACCTGGAGCCCTCAGGCACTGCTGGTGGAAACGCTAAGTAAACCACTACGTAGAGAACAGTCAGGCAGTTCCCCCTATAAAGTTAAATTGCACCCGCCGCCCCTAGGCTCCCCACGCCCAGGTGTTTCCCTAAAGGAAACCATAGCTTATGTTCACCTGATGCACACATTAATAGCTGCTCGATTCATAATCGCCAAACCCCAGCAACCGCCGAAAGGTCCCTCAGCGGGAGCGGATAAACAGCCCAATGGGGGGCGCCTGGGTGGCTTAGTCGGTTAAGCGTCCGACTTTCGCTTGGGTCATGATCTCGCGGTTCGTGGTTTCAAGCCCCGCGTCGGGCTCTGTGCTGACTGCCAGCTCAGAGCCTGGAGCCTGTTTCAGAGTCTGTGACTCCCTCTCTCTCTGACCCTCCCCTGCTCACGCTGTCTCTCTCTCTCTCTCTCTCTCCTAGAAATAAATAAAACATTTAAAAAAAAAAAAGGAAAAAAAAAAAAACAGCCCAATGGACTAACAGTCAGCCCCACAAAGGAACGAGTGACTGGTCGGCGTGATCGCACGGAGAAATCTCAAAGGCACTGAAGGAAGGAAGCCAGACTCCAAAGGCACCGACTGCGTGATTCGAGTCCCGTGGTGATTCTGGAAAAGGCAAATGATGAGGACGGAAAACAGATCCGCGGCTGCCAGCAGCTGGAGGTGGAGAGCGGGGGCGCCCATGAGGGCTCACGGCAGGACCTGGGTGGGGGACGGAACCGCGCGACACCTGGGTGGGGGGTGAGCACCCCACTGGATGCGCGTGGCAGCTCTTGCAACTCAACACTAAAAGGGGTGACTGTTACTCTAAGCAAAAAAGTGTTGGGGGTGCCTGGGAGGCTCAGTCGGGTGAGCGTGTCTGGCTCTTGGTTTTGGCTCAGGTCATGATCTCACAGTTCGTGAGTTCGAGCCCTGCATCGGGCTCGGTGCTGACAGTGTGGAGCCTGCTTGGGATTCTCTCTGTCTCCCTCTCTCTCTGCCCCTCCCCTGCTCGTGCTCTCTCTCTCTCTCTCTCAAAATAAATACACTTAGAAAAAAATGTTGAGGGAGAACCCAGCGGACACGGGGACACACAGAGGCGCATGAAACCCCCTTGCAGCCTGGACTGTCGCACAGACAGCAGACTCGGTGCCTGGAGTGCGCGTGGGTGTTCCTGACAACACATCCAGGAAGGCAGGTCAGCCCGAAGGTTATTTCTGGGGCTGGCGTCCCACCGCTACATGCGCTGCCTCAGTTCTGGGCAGCTCGTGACTATGGGGTAGGGCGGCCCCAGCCTGGCCCGGGCCAGCGGCTTCCCACCACCACCAACCTCAGGGCAGTGACAAGGCTGCACCGTCTTCAAATGGCTCTGACACCAGATGGGGGTGAGCGCAGACGGGGGGAGAGAGATGGAGCGAGGTGTCGGCCTCCTCCCCAGCAGGCTGTCAGGCTGCGTGATGGATTCCTCACACTGAGTCACCCAGGGACGGGGAGCCGCGGGCCCGGGGGGCATTCCGGGAAGTGGGCTCCGTCCCCAGCTCCCCCCATCACAAGGCAGGGGGACCGGTGACCCTTCCCAGGCCCGGGCATCCGGGATCACATGCCCCCCACTGTGGTTGTGCATCAGGATGCTTGCGAGGGGGGCTCCAGGCTGGTGGCCCAGGTGACCTGGCCTGGGAGCAGAAGGCAGGGAGGCAGTGGGCCATTCCTCTCCTGGACCATATAACACAGAAAGGGAGTCTGGGTGATCCCCAAGGAGCCAGCTCCGAGGACAGACATAAAACCTACGTATTCAACAGCATTTTGACCGAGTCGTCTACTCCACAAGTTTCTACCAAGCACCCACTATATACCAAGAAGTCTTGGAGACTGAGTGGCCCCTGCCTTCCTGGTCCTTACATCCTACTGAGCAAGACTGTCAGTAAGCACTGAATCAATATCACGCCGGGGCAGTGGCGAGGGTTAGTACAATGAAGAAAAGTAAAATCTGGTAAGAGGGACAAGGACGATAAGGTACACAGAGGTGTGGTGTTTTCTAAGTGGGGCGGTCTGAAAAGGCCTCTATCTGGTGATGTTTGAACAGAGAACTGAAGTAAGAGAATAAGGTGTGTGATTACCTGGAAAAGCATCCAAGCCAAAGGAACAGCACGTGCAAAGGCCCTGAGGAAGAAACTGCTGGATGTTTTCTAGGAACAGCCAGGATGCCAGGGTGGTGGGGATGTAGTGGGCGAGGGGAAGGGTGCCGGAGGCCGTGTGTGGGCCTTGCTGGCCTTTGCATTATTTAGAGATGTGGGAAAGCACGGGGGTGATGGGGGATGAACAGAGAGGAAGGACATGATCTGACTCCAGACGCCCACTCAGCATTTGGGCGGATATGAAGAAGAGACCACAGAGGTAGAAGCAGGGGGTGGAAAAGTAGTGACAGGTGGTGGTGGCCTGCATGACGGAAGCAGCAGCGAAGAGGGTGGGAAGTGGTCGGATCGGGATGGATTTAGGAAGGGCCGTTATGGTGGAGTGTGGGACCAGGAGAAGAATGAAGGAAGACATCAAGATCTGGGGCCTGAAAAGCCAGAAGGATAAGGTACCCGCTCACCGAGGTGGAGACGACCGTAGGAGGAGCCGGACAGGGGCAGGGAGGGAGTCGGGAAGTTCATGTCGGATGTGCTAACAGTCTGTGAAGCCTGCGGGGCACGCGTGACGCTGTCTGGAGGCCGAGTCTGCAGATGTCTGAGCTGCAGATATAATTGGAACTTACTGAGTAGATGAAATTGCAAGTTTTGGCGATGGGTGAACTCACGAGAAGACTTGGGATGGATCCAGAGCGGTGCATGCGGGTAATTTAAGGTCTAGGGGCTGGGTGTTGAGAAGGAGCCAGCAAAGAGGACGGGAGGGGATGGCCAAGGGGGTGGTGCGGCAGCTCAGAGGCCAAGCAGAGAAAGTATCTCAAGAAGAGAGAAATTAGATGAAGACCAAGGAAATATCTGTGGAATTTGGCAACACAGAAGTTACCGGTAGCTTCAGCAAAAGCATCTCATTGGAACGTTATCAGTGGGGGAGAGCCTGATGGGTGGGGGGGCGGGTTCCACAAAACTGGGTCCTGTTCCTCAAACATCAGCGGTGTCCATAACAAAAGAAATGTTAAGCGTTCAAACTTGCAGGACAGAGTCACCAACATGATGTAGGTTTTCTGATCCTGGATCAGGGGACAAAATGACCATAAAGATGGTTGTGGGCTTCCCGTACTGGTCACGATGGAGGAAGCC